GTGCTAACGGTGTCTGCCGCGCCCTGTGGTCACCTCCGGGGCAGGCAGGGATCGAACTCATGCAGAAGTGGCTTTAGCTTCTCAGTGCTGTGCTTTAACCCGCTGCGCCACCGGGGAGGGCCTGAGACTTAATAATTATTAAGTCACAGTAATCAAGCTTATTATGAACAATTAACATCTTTATTTTCCCATAAAGACTAGCAGCGATCAGCACAACAGAACAGGGAATCTGGAAATAGGATCCACCTGTGAGATTGTCAATTAACTTTCAAGGTGCAGAGAAAGATCAGCTCACCAAATGGTGTTAAAACAGTTGAACAGCATTTAAAATAAAGAATGGACATGATACACAAACTTAACTAAAAGTGGATCATAGTCCAAAATGACATTTACATTATGAGAAAATACAGGAGACAGGCTTTGTGTTACTAGATCGGTAAGCATAGAATTCTTAAGTAAGGGCAAAAACTGTTAGGTCCCTTTATATCAGAATTCACAGTGTCTTCAGAAGGCACTTGTAGGAAGGAGACGCAAGGGGAAAATCACAAATCTGGAAAGAAAATACATAAAGAGTATATGAAGAACTCTAAAATTAATGACAAAAGAAAAAATGGGCAAATACTTGAATTGACACTTCACCAAAGAAATAAATCTGTAAAATAAGAGCATTATAGTATATATGAATCATTTGGTCAATATGATTTAAAACCATCATGAAATACCACCACACATCAGAACGTCTGATATTCAAACTAACCAGAGCAAACATTGGCAGGAACATGGAACTGAAAAATCTGTCGGTGGCAATACAAAGCAACGCAACTCCTTCTGCCAGTGGTTTGGCGGTTTCTTACATGTACATGTACATTCACTCGATGTCCGAGCCGTTGTACTCCTTCATATTTGTGCAAAATAAATTAAATCACATTTCCAAACAGAGACTTGGATATAGATGCCGAGCAGCTTTATTTGTAATTAACCTCAACTAGAAGCAACTCAAATGCCAGCAGGTGAGTGAGTGAACACCTCGCTGTGTTGCTGTGCGAGGGAACGTGACACAGCGCTACAGTGGATGCCTGACTGCAGTGAAGGGACGGTGGTCCGAACGCCCGTGTAAGCGAAAGACACCAGGCAACAAATACAGCCATGCATTGAGGGACCCAAGTCTAGAAAGTACTCACAGACCTTCAAGGCTGCAAACGTGAGCTGCCATCTGCGGGTGACTGGAGGAGGCCGTGACAGAGGCGGGAGGCACTCGGCAGCTGTGCGTGGTGGCCACGTTCATCGGCAGCTGCAGTGACGGCTTCCTGGGCGTGTGCATCGGTCAGGGCAACGCAAATTGCAGACTTTCCATGCGTGCAATTCATTGCATGTCCGTCCTCCCAGTACAACTGTTCTTACTCTGTGTTGTCCTCATGATATTTAGGCCTCATTGAAGAGCAGCAGTGGTGATGCGAGACACGTGCACGTGCGCTTTGCCTGTCTGTGTGCAGGGGTGTGTAGTCGGCTGCCGAAACGTCTTACAGAGAAACGAAGTGTGAAGATAAGAGACAGGGAGGCGACTGAGAGTGGAGACCCTGTGCTATTAGGACAGACCCAATTTTAATACCCCTGGTCACCTTTTCAAAGCTGTTTTCAGATCTGTTTCATTTTTGTAAAGTCACAAGTGACTGTCGGCTAAGAGGAGAGCAGCTTTCGCCCCACCTTGGAGGTGGCGTTTAAGTTTCTGCCATACGAACTAAACAGATGGGGAGGGCGGGCAGAGGTGAGCAAAACCTACCCCTCATGTGCGACAGTAGCCAGTTCTGGGAAAAGAATTCTGGTGGCAAATTTTTGATTGGAGCAATGAAGGCTAGATTTGAACATGCAGTGGCGAGTCAGAAGGAAGCTCTCCAGAACCGCTGCCTCAGAGCTTTGCCCTCAGTTGTCGAAAGGGGAAAGTGGAAACAGCCTTCCTCGCCCAGTCAGTGTCTGCTTAGGTGTGTGGTGGCGCAAGGATGCACTGCGCTCAGGGGCAGAGGAAGCGCCCCTCGGGGAGCCACGCCCAGTCAGCCTGCTAGAAAGAAGAGCGCTCGTCCCTGCTGTAGTTCATCCTCAGCTCAGCAGAGGAACTTGCTTCACGTGGGATTAAAGGGACTGAGAGAGGAGCCGTGTTATTCTACTTAGCAGCTATCAGCCGCTGACAAGTGGAACCTGAATTTGGTTCCCTCCCCAAAAGGATGGTGGCTAGTCAATAGACACTTTAACACAGCTGCACATTGAGGGCAAACGGAAAGGACGATACAAAGAAACTGAAGTGCCCTGTGCCATCATCTGAAATGTGGTCCTTATTCTGAAAAGTGTTTTGGGTTTTTTTGAAGATTGATTTATTTATGCATACAGAACTGGGGTACAAGCCAAAGGTGCAGGTGAGAGGCTTCACCAGAGACAGTAGGGGCAGGACAGGCAGATGGACGAAGCCCACTGCGGAGGGGAGCAGCGGGCGGGTCAGGAGAGGTCTGCCGCGCCCTGTGGTCACCTCCGGGGCAGGCGGGGATCAAACTCGCACTGAAGAGGCTGCACTAGCTTGCAGTGCTGCGTCCTGACCTGTTGCGCCAGCAGAGAGGGCCTGAAAACAGTGTTTAATTCTGGGCACAAAAACATCCCTGGTTTTGTAAGGTATCGCCTGTCTAGATAATGTACATATTTTATTAACATAAATTTTATGTAAGAGAAAGAAAGTACATTCATCTTAAAACAGTGTGTCTTTCTTTGTAAGCACTTTATTAAAAATGCTAATTGTGTGTGAAGCAGCACATCCTGCTCTGAAAGGTGCTCCTGAGACACGTCTCTGAGGCCAGGTCCTGAGACTGACTTCTTAATGTTACCAGGAAGCCTCTTGTGAGGCCATGCCCCTTCCCGCCTCCTGTGGCTTCAGCAGCCCAAGGCCTGTCATTTGGAAATAGCTGCTCTTAGCCTTTTTGGAGTTATGACCTCCTATGAGGAATAATGAAAACTGTGGACAAAACACTCGCCTAACTTCTGGAACTGCTAAGAACCCTTGTTCTAGGACAGAGACAAGCTCTGTGCCCATCTCAAGCAATTCATCGCCGAAGCTCTTTCCTCAGTACAAAGGTGGCCGTCTACCTGTGACCTAAAGAGCTACTGTATTAGTGCTAGGTTTTTAATATTCTCTTCAGCAAGGTCGTAGGAAGAGAGACAGCAGGGAGCCAGCTGAGTTGTGGTCTGTGGCATTAGGAAGAGCTTGCCTCCGGCACATGTGAGCTTGTGCCAGGGAAGCTGTGAGGACACTCGTCAGCATCCTTGTTCTGTGTTACATGGTTCTTGCTTGTTCTGCTGCACAAACCCGTCAGATTTTAACAGAAAACCAAGTACCTACTGTTTCACTAGAAGCAAATGACACATCTGCTCTACACGGGGACTCAGTAGTCATCTTTTACCCTGTTTAGTTAATTATTCCCTGAGACTGTCTGAGAAATGACTTCTCCTGAACTGAGATGTGCTAACGGTGCTTTGCTTTTCTTCCTACAGCTTATACCTCCTTTTAAGCCTCAAGTAACATCTGAAACAGATACTAGATATTTTGATGAAGAATTTACAGCTCAAACTATTACAATAACACCACCTGAAAAATGTAAGTAACTCTTGAAGCCCACTGATAACATTCTAATATAACTGAAGAAAACAGTCATTTTTAAATATTGGCTATTTCCAAGATCAAATTCCACAGTGACGTGTTCCATTCCACTCGGGAATTGGAGCTCCCAGTATGAAAACCCCAGAAGACAGGTAACAGAAAAGCGTTTTTGGCTAGGAAGAGTAGTGACAGGAGACTGAGAGCTGTAGGCTAGCCCACGGACTGACGAGTCCTTTCTGACTGTTCCCCCGGGGGCTGTTGACATCAGCTGAAAGTTGTCAAGGAGAGACTGCCGCGCCAGCAGCTCACTCACGCACCGCCTTCAGAATGGTGCTGATCTGGTCTCCTCCTCATTCAGTAGTTTCTAAATCCACTTTAAATGGAGTCTTTGCTTAGCTGTGCCTGGAGCAGCAGTCCTGTGAAGGCACACTTCAGCTCGCCAGGAGAGTCCTGCTACACGTCAGCTGCTCGCTCTCAGCAGCCGGGGGTCACTTGCAATCTTCGTGCGCGCGGGGCTGTGCCCTCCCCGTCGTAAATACTCTCAATGGATGAACTTCAGTGAAGAAAGATGATCAAGGGCGGCTGCGAATTCTCTCAGGCTGACGACAGTGGGTTGGACTGTGCCTGTCCTGGTGAGCCTAGGAGGGGCGGAACACGGAGCCGCGGGGGCGCCCCTGAGCAAGTCGGGGTCTTGGCAGGCCACGCTCGCTCCACTCGTACAGTGTATGTCCGTTTTCCTCCCCTTTTCCTTTAACTGCTTTCCCACGCTCCTTTCCTCTTCTTTCTTTTAAAAGGTGTGTCTGTGGGCAGCACTGGGCTCCCTGGGTGTCCGTGGGGGGCGGAGGAGGCAGCCGCTGGCCGGCCGCGCCGCGCCGTGGTGGACACCAAGTGGCTGTGGACACCCCGGAGTTAAATACACCGTGACGTCTGCTGCACGTGCTTGCCTTCCCTTAGCTCTAAAAGCAGTGGAGCGTACCTGCACCTGCATTTATAAGGGAGAAATTAAAACCCAGAGAGACGCCGGGCTCCTAAAGCCCGAGGCGGCGGCGGCCTTGGCAGCTGGTCCAGCGCAGTTTGAGTCGCGAAGCGCGGGCGTGTTGAAGGCCACTGACGTGAGAGGCCGTGGGTCGCTGGACCTCTGCCTTGCAGTGTGTCGTGGCAGCAGAAATGCTAAGAACCAAAGATAACGTGAGGGCTTTGGGCAGGTGGTTGAGGACGAGGACGCCTGAGCAGAAGCCGGGACCCGGCTCGGCCTCCTGCCTGCCACGGGCCGTGCGGTGTGTGATCGCCCGCGCCAGGGGCCAGTTGGGCGATTCTGGCTGCTGCGCGCCGCGAAGCGTCTGCTGGGACGCAGCCTCTGGGCAGGACCTCCGGTGCGGTCAGGTTCCCTCCTCCCCTGGCGGGCTCCCACTGCGGCGCCAGCCCAGACGAGGCTCCCTGGCACGCGGCCTGTTGGAGTTAGGCGCCTGCGTGCTTCGCGTTCTGCGTTCGGCACCCCGAGGCTGCGTCCGCAGTGCGCCTCGGCCGGTGCGTCCTGCCCTCTCTGCCTGACGTGCTCTTGGCAGCTGTTCTCGAGGCGGCCACCCTCTCCACCTTGAGAAGAAGGATCTGCTTTGTTCACCGCTGACTAGGTGCTTTGCCCCACAACTTTATTCAGTAAAGTTGTAGTGGGTGACAGAATAAGCGCGTTACTTAGCCCAGAGGCCGCCAGAATCAGGACTAGAAGAAGCCAAACTCCCTGATTGTGGTGCGTTTGTGTTGCCACCTTGAGACCCCAGGGGCTGTGGGGGAGCAAGGTCCCGACACCTGTTCTCAGCCTCAGTGTCCTCGGACTGGTGTCCTTTCTTCACAGAGCTTTGGTGTGTGTGGAAGCTTCATTAGGACAGTCAAAAAAATAGGTAGGACCCTTAAATGCAGAGTCATTCGTGAGAAAAGTAAGAGTTAAAAAACGACCCCAATACAGAAAAGCCCTGATGGGGGGGGCAGTCCCCAGGGCTCCTGTCTTTCCCGCTGAGCGCCTGGAAGCATCCCTTCAGGAAGGGAGACCCCCAAGAGCTCTCTTGTGAACTCTCACTTGTCATTCTGCCTCAGCGCCTGATTTGCAGTGCACCGGCGCTTTGTTCTCTGACCAAGTACCCTGAGGGGGGGCAGGCTCTGCACACAGACACCAGCGAGACAGTCGGAGGGAGCGAGGTGGGGAAGAGGCTGCAGCTGAGCTGGGAGGGGGAGCGGGAGGCGGGCGGCCAGCCAGCCACCGGGGAAGCTGCCCCATCGCCAGTGAGTTAGACTGGAAGCTTCTACAGTCTTCTACAGTGGTCCCTCTCAGCCAGCGGGTCTTTCTTCATGACCGACCTTTACTTCCAACCCCACCTGTCAAGAGTCAGTTTCTTCCAGGTTAACTGTTCCTGCTTCACCACAAACTCCAAACTCACGTGCGATTACATCATTAATACGCATTTATTGTTCAGCTTCTAAACTCCTCAAATGAGGTTGAATGTTAAAGGTATTTTAAGTCACCGACACCATTCCTGGAACATCCAAAGCTAATGTTCCAACTTCTCTATCAAGAACATCAGGCCGCAGCTTCCTTGTCCTTGCAGAGCCCAAGGGCTGTGATCTGTTGCGATGGCCTCTGTAGATCCTGGACTCCCTGAGGAGCAGAGCAAGAGAGGAAAGGGGGGACCTTTAACTCCATCTTTTCTGTTTGCAGCTTTGAGCGGTGTTGCTGACGAGAAACCACCGCCACCCTCTTGCTACTAAAGCAGAGAGAATCTGTGCATGAAGCCCACAGCGGTACAGTCAGTCAGCGGTTGCCTTCCCACTGGCCACCTTGATTGTGTAACACCGAGTGGAGTTGTTGTTCCAGAACGACTCAGTTAAAAAGACCAAGTGTTCCTTTTTGACCAACAGCTGCAGTAACATGGTGTTAATTAATTGAACAGATTTGGGACGTGTTGTCTTGTATTATATCGTTAATGGCCCTCTGCCTCCGTTGTCTAGAAAAAGATGATTTCTTGAGATCTAGTAGCTTTTACTGCCATGTAATTACATTTGTCAAATGTCCTATGAAAATGAGGCAGCTGATGCTTCCTGATCGCCAGGGACGGAATTGACAGCTCTCCCCCCACAGAGGAGCGTGTGGTTTCGTGTTCAGTGTAGCTCAGAGTGATCGTTATTCCTGTGACGGCCTTGTAGACCGGGAACCCGTTTACACCGCTCGACAGGCGCTGACCGAGCCGCCGAGTGCCGGCCGTCACCCCACCCTCCCCGCTCTGCAGCCCAGGGGCCCTCTTCCTGCCCCGGAACCTCTGCAGGCCCTGGGCCTACTGGTGTCCGTGATGAGACCCCCTCTGTTAGCGGCCACGAGGGCGGGGTGCTACACAGACACGGGTCAGAGGGAGCATCAGGGCGAGGCCCCCTTGGTTATCTGTGCGCTGCGGGCTTCTTCACATTCAAAATTGTGGTGAGTCTTTGGCCCAAGTGCCAGAGTCGAAGCTCTGTCAGCTCTCGGCTGCTCCACCTCACGGCAGTGGGTCCCCTCAGGAAAGGACGCTGAGTCACGCCTTTGGAGAGCCCGTGCCCTGCGCCCTGCCTGACCCCCCGCCAAGGCCTGGCGCAGCCCCAAGCCGGGAGGCTGCTGCCGCCTCCGGCTGGGGTGGACGAGCGCGGGCTCCCTGGGCTGCTGCCGGGAGGCGCGTGCAGCGGAACCCCGCTGCCAGTGGGGAGACCTCTTTCCCTGGGGACCGGCGTGCCGGGGTCTGAACACAGATCTCACCCTCTCGGTAAGCTTTATGCTCTGGGCTCAGCAGCGGAGGCCACCCGGAGCTCTCCCTGCCCCGTCTAGCACCGGCGACCCCCAGGGCCTCCGCAGCGGGAGGGAGAGCCTTGGCGGTCAGAGGTCTGTCCAGGGCAGAGGCACGGATGTGCCTGGGGACTTCCGCCCACCTAGTAGTATTTTCTTAAGCACACTTGAGGCTACAGATATTGGTTAACAACTTGATCCCTTATTTGGCTGTTTTAAAAATAGAATACTGAAGAGAAGGAAAGTCAGAGGAGCTTGTTATTCTTTGGGCTGCAACAGGGCCAAGACCACATGTTCCAGTGGAATCTGACTTGGGTTCTTTCTCACATTATATGAAGACGATGCTCCAGTTACAGGCTGGAAAATTAAGGGCATTGGTAGCATACTTACTATACAGTAGGAAGCAGTGGGATCACTGCACTTGGATAAAAGGAGGGTGGCGTCAGTTAGACTTCCAGTCACATGCAGGAGCCGAGCAGGAGGGGTTTAATGGATTTTCTCCCCCAGACCTGCAGGCCGGGGAGGGGGTACTGCGGGTGCTGTGCCCAGAGCGGATGGGGGTGTCCTTGGGACTGAGGGTCGAGCAGCAAAAACCACATAGAAGAAAGAACATCCGACCGAGCAGGGTTGCGGGCAGAGTTTGGGTGATGGTTTGTGACTTTCTCAGCACTGGACAGAGGGGTTGGAAGAGCAGTGCGAGTGAAAGCAGCCTCTCCCCTGCCTTTCTCTGCCTCCTTCCTGTTTGTTCTGATGAAGCTCGCATTCACATGCTAACGCATCTTAACTGGTGGTGTATTTGTTTGGGTCTTACTCTTTTTTCCTAGTATAAATTTTATGGCAGGAGAACCGGGAGTAGTGAGGTAAGGCAGAGAGGAGACATTAAATAATGAGTGTTGATCTTCAAGCTGTTGTCAGGGGCTGAAATGAAGTAGTCATATGAAGCTCTATTTTGCAGTCACACCTAAGTCATTATGAAGAAAGCAGAGGCATTTGAAGAGAGCTAGTGGCGGCTTCAGGGAGACACGCGGGCGCCTTAGGACTCAGACTGGCGTGACTGTAACTTGCAAGCGTGCCCACACTAACGGTGACTGGAGGCTGCTGCTCGGGAGCCCTCACGTCTCCCCTAGCATTCTTTACTTACCGAGGACTGGAACGCTGACTAGAAGGAGCTTTGGTGGCTCCATTTCTTCACGGACAGCGCGCAGGCGTAGTGCTGACCCGTTTCTGTGGCGCTGGCGTCACGAGTGAGCCGTCGCCCAGGGCAGTGACCCGCGCAGTCTAAGTGTGAAACTAAAACGGCTGTTTCCGCCCGCAGATGACGAGGACGGCATGGACTCCGTGGACAACGAGAGGCGGCCGCACTTCCCGCAGTTCTCCTACTCGGCCAGCGGACGAGAATAAGTCTCTTAGGTTTGCGGCTGCAGGAGCCTGGACACCTCCGCAGCCCGGCCGTCACCGTAGCAGGAGCGCCCGACGGGCCGGCCCGGCCCGCGGCCCCGAGCCCTCGCAGGGCTGCACCCTGGAACCTTCACCTTTGCTTTCTGCCGGCCACCCTGCCCACCCCCACGAATCCCTGCGGCCAGTCTCGGCCAGTCTCGGCCAAGCCGGCCTCCGGCAGCTCTGCCTGAGGCAGGGCCCCGCACGCCCTGCACACTGGCTCCCTGCGCGTGGCCTTCCGCACAGGGAGGCCAAGAATGTGCCCTTCCAGGTGGGTCCACCACAGCGCCTGCTCTCCCCTGGGGGCCCAGGGCGCAGGGGCGCAGGGGCCTGGCTACCAGCCCGCTCGCCTCCGGCTGCACCTGCAGCCACGGGACAGTTCCACGAAGAGGACACGAGTGGAGGTGACAGGCCATGACCGCTGGGCCCATGCGTGCCAGAGAAGAGGGCCGGCCACCAGCTGGGGCCATCTGCAGCAGGACAGTCACC